TCATCTTGATTCCAGCTTCAAGCTTCTTCTTCTTCAAATATCACATCTTTACTCATGATCACCTGTCTGGTAATGGGATTATACAACTTGTATCCCATTGTTCTGTCTCTATATCTGACAAGGATATATTTTTCTCCCTTATCATTGAGCTTGGTTCTTCTTGCTTCTGGAATCTTGGTGTATGCAACACACTAAAATATTCTGAGATGATTGACACTTGGCTTATGTGAACTCCAAGCTTCTTCTAGAGTCCTAGAATGAAGGCTCCTGGTTGGATATCTGTTCAATAGATACACAGCACATGATACAACTTCAGCCCAAAATTGTTTAGGTAGTCCATTTCCTTTCAACATGCTCCTTGCCATATCCAAGATTGTGCAATTCTTCCTTTCAGCAACACCATTCAGCTGTGGCGTATAGGATGGTGTTGTTTGATGCTTGATTCCATGCTCTTTGCAATAATTCTCAAAAGCATCTGGTGTATATTCTCCACCTTGATATGATCGCAATGTCTTGATGTAGTAGCCGCTTTGCTTCTCTACAAAAACTTTGAATTCTTTGAAGATACTGAACACCTCCAATTTTTTTTTAAGAAAATACACCCATGTCTTCCGGCTATAATCATCAATGAAGGTGAGAAAATATCTATTCTGTCCATTTGACATTGGCTTCAATGGACCATACACATCAGTGTGCACTAGCTCCAACAGCTTTGTTGCTCTCTACTTCACTTCTTTGGCAAAGCTAGTTCTGTGATGCTTGCCAAGAATGCAGCTTTCACAAACCTCATTAGTATGAGCAATATGAGGGAGCCATTTCACCATATTCTTGCTTGACAACAACTTCAAGCTTCCAAAGTTGAGATGTCCAAACCTCAAATGCCATAGCTAGTCTTTGTCTTTGATGGTAGCATTGAAACACTTCGCAGCATCATGTTGGATGTTCAATGCAAACATCTGATTCTTGGACATTCTCACCCAAGCGATCAAATTACCATGATTGTCTTTGATGGTAAGATGACAATCTTTCATGCTGATGTCGTATCCTTTCTCTAAGAGTTGTCCCATACTCAAAATGTTGTTCTTCATGGCAGGAACATAATAAATATTGGAGATGTAATCATGATCTCCATTCTTGAGCTTGATCAAAATATTACCTCTTCCTTTCACTGGAGTCTTTGAAGAATCACCAAATGAGACTTGTGCTTATACAGTCTCGTCAAGCTTCAACGAACAACTCTCTTTTACAACACATGTGATTACTAGCTCCCGAATCTAGATACCAAACATTGTTTTGGTTTTCAGTGTCTCCATGGTGGACAAACAGGACTGTAGGTCCAACTTTGTTTGTTTCCTGCTCAGTAAAATTTGCTTGCTCTCCGGTTTTGTTGTTGCTCTACTTCGGCATTCATTGTTGTAATGCCCAAACTTGTGGCACTAGTAGCACTGAACATTGCTTTTGTCAAATCCTGGTCGGTTGTTGTAACCACCTCCTCTACCTCTTGCTCTTCCTCTTAGAGCAAAGTATGGTTGACTTCTTCCTCCTCTGGCTGGACCTTTTCCGCCTCTTCCTCGAAAACCAAAACTTTGGTTATTGAAACCACGACCTCTGTAACGCCCTCAAAATTAACCCATTATATATCATTGACATGCATTATTTAAAGAAGACAATTTATTAATTTATTCATCAGAGTATTACTAAATAAAGCATTACATGTAACATCGAATAAAATGCCCTACAGGCTTATATCTTTCCAAGCCAGCACTTGGATTCAAAAATATGAGTTCTAATCTCAATACAAGAAAAGCCCTAGGCTTGAATGTTTACATGCAAAACTATTAACTAAAGGTAGTCTTCTTCAATCCAGAAGCCAAACCCTCCCAAGCTAAGTCCTTGGAGGTAGTTTATCACCTGAACCTGAAAATGATGTTCCCATAAAGGGTGAGCCACAGCCCAATAGAAATATACTAAACCACATATAAGCAATGAATAAAACAATAGCATTCAACAGATGGTTAACCAAGATAAACAATTACTTCAGTTTATAGTCTCATGACACTATTGTCTAAGACACGTTTTACTTTCCAACTTTATCAACATGGCTCAGAACCTGGCCAAACTTACAACAGTGAATTACATATATCATATTCACATCCTTCCAATATCAACAAACAAATGAGACTCAAGCTCAAATCAAAACACTTCAATATAAATAAGCACACATAAAAGTGATGCTAATGGAGTCCATCCCCTATCTCCTCCCAAACAAAATCCGGTTTAGAGGTCCATCCCCTATCTTCCCCTAAACCGTGGAGTACATCCCCTATCTCCTCCCACACAAAACAATATATGCAAATGCAATGCTCAATCAATACACGTATTCTATACATGCATGCAAGCCTTAAGCTTCAATTCAACATTAAGAGGCCAATTCTTGACTCAACTCTTCAATTAACATGGAGCATGCAAGATTTTTCCCCGAAATTACCAAAGTACTCCCAACATATCAAAATGCCAAAACTTAGGACAAAACTTATAGGATGGAGTAGGAAATCCCTACCTTGAAGCGAAGAACTCGAATGGAGAAGATGACGAAAACCAAAGTGCTCCAAACCCAGGATTGTTCAGATTAAACGGAAGCCCTCGACCCACTCTATCTTTTTAACAAAGGGTTTAGGGTAGAAATACACTCTAAGTAGATCAAACCTAAGAGAGAAGGTGTGTAGGGAGAGGGAGAAGACGGTTCTAGGGTTTTAAAATCAAAAAGGAGATGAAAAATGATCCTGAAAGTCGGATCTCGGATTTTTATACCAGTCGCCCCGCTCGAGCGTGGAAACCCCCGCTCGAGCGCCACTCACAGACTCCCGCTCGAGCGGCCAAACTCCCGCTCGAGGGGCGAATGCACTCTCCCAGAAGTTTTTGCAGACAGGTCCCCGCTCGAGCGCCCAACTCCCCGCTCGAGCGTCACTCACGACTTCCCGCTCGAGCGTCCAATCCCCCGCTCGAGCGGCCAACACTACACAGGAGATACTGGATGGGTGTATTCCCCGCTCGAGCGTCCAAACCTCCGCTCGAGCGGATAAGCCAAAATCTGGGCAACTAGACTTGGTTCCTAAGCTCAACCAACCTGCTCCAAATCTTCCCAACACAACCCAAGACTCAAAATAAGAAAATAATGAATGACAACAACAATTGTACAATGACGGAATCTACGGAACCTAAGTCCGGATACAATAATCAAATGGGAAAAGACCGGGGTCGCTATAACCTCTTGCTCGGCTTCTTTGTGATGTCCCCCCTTGCTCGTTTCTGTTATCTCTGAAAGATAGCTTTGATTGAAGAGCTTGCTCTAGGGAACTTGAGGGAGTCTTCTTATTGATCCTTTGTTCATGAATCTCAAGTGTGCCTATCAACTCATCGGCGGTCATGGTACTGAGATCCTTGGACTCTTCTATTGCTACAACCACGTGCTCAAACTTAAGACTGAGTAATCAAAGAATCTTCTCTATCACTTGAAGAGATTCCATCTTCTCTCTATATTTTCTCATCTGATTAACAATGGTCAATGTTCTGTTGAAATACTCAGAAATTGACTCATTCTCATTCATGTACAACAGCCACGTAACACCTGGAGTCGAACTCTGATCGTCTTCTTAATTCCACGGTGTGAATTACGAAGAATACTCCATCCTTCTTTAGAGGTTGCTACTGCTGAAATCTTCTCAAAACTTGACTCATCAATGCCTTGATAGAGTAGATACAAGGCCTTTTTATCTCTCTTCCTTGAATCTTTTAATGCCGTGTTCTGAGCTTCATTTAAATTTCCTTCATCTTCGAGAGTAGCTGGTTCGTTATATCCTCGATCCACTAACTCCCACAAATCTTGTGAGCCTAGTAGGACTTGCATTTGAATACTCTAATTTTCATGGTTCTCCTTGTTGAGTTTTGGAAACTGGAGCTGAAAGAAGTTGTTTGTGTTGGCCATTGGTTGTCTTTAAAAAACTACAAATTTTTAGGATGGAATTTGAAAATTCTAACCATACAGATGTGTCCGGAATATTTCAAATAGCTGGAAAGCACTATGGGATCACCAAAAACGGACTTCAAACGGCTCAGATCTAACAAAAATAATTCACTACAACATATAAGACTTTTGGCGACCAATTATTTTAGTCCCTAAAACTATTATTTTAGTCTCTAAATGGTTTTTGTGACAAAATTAATTTTGTCACTAAAAAAGTCACTAAAAGTGCGTCTAGAAAAGTCTTTAGCGACCAATTTTTGAAAATGTCCCCAAAAATGACAATTAGTGACCAATTTTATATTGTTACAAAATGTTTGATTTTACAAGACTAAACATTTGGTCACTAATACTTCGTCATAAAATGTCCCAATTTGGTCGCAAAAAACAAAATAATGACACTTTTAATGACTATGATATTTGGTCGCTAAAAGACATATAACTTTCTCTACAACACATTTTCGTCGCTAAAAATCAAAGTTAAATTTTGTAATCATTTAATCTCATAGCTAAAATGCACAAAATTAAATGTCATCCAATCATATTAAAAAAAATTTGACATCCACATATCAAACCCACTCTATTCCCAAACCATAATGAGTATATAGAAAGTAAATTTGACAAAAATTAAAACTAAAAGTTTCCAAATTCAGATCAAAGTAGTAATAGTTCAAATGAAGAATAGCAACAATACAATAGTTTCTACAAAGAAAATATCTAAAAAAGAATTTTCTTAACATCAATATCAGGCTTTATATCAGACAGGCTTGACACAAGAGGCTTCAAGCTGTACTTAGGTGTGACACCCTTTGGACATCCCTGCAACCCAAAATTCAAAAAGAAGAATCAAATAATAAGAATCAACACAACATAGCCTCATTAAATAATCAATAGTCATTCATAATCAAATAAGTTACAAATAATGAAAAAACACGTTATCTCAGTGTACTTGAAGTATTAGTGAGCTATAATAAGAATCAACACAATAAGGTTATCATAATCCAAGCACGTTATCATAATCAAATGTTCTAAATAACAAACACACTAAATTTATAACTATGACAGATCTATCTAGAGCAAAAGGTACTCACTATGATGGTAAATCAGAAGTAAAACCTCCCCGACTAATCTGTTGCAGCACCAAATCAAGCTTGGCATTGACCTCTACGCTATTAGACTCCAAGTTGTGCACTCTTGCATTCAGTTCCTCATTGATTCTCCGTTGCTCTTCAAGCTCCCTTCTAGTTTCCTCATTTTCTATCTCAAGAGCAACACGAGTACGTCGACCAGATGCTGTTGTACTAGGTTTAGGACCATGTCCTAAACCACTTATGTAGCCAGACTTACGCCCAAACACCTCAATGGAAAGCTGCTCATCAGATAGTGGGCTAGATCCATCTTCTATAGCTTCATTCTCCCGCTCTTTAAGTTTTTTCTACAATTGCTCATGAAATTAAATATAGTCATTTTATATCTACATTGTAACAGAGCAACTGAAGACATTGATTTTCCTATGTACTTATCCTAGAGAGAACATAATAATGGTAGAGAAAGGACCATAATCTAGTAGCAGGTCTAATATTCTAACTGAATTTTCTAACTTTAAAGTAGCATTTCCCAAAAGCTGAATTTTCTAACTTTAAAGTATTAACAGGTCTAATATTCTCTTCAAACATGCGTTTTTAGATGCCATGCCATCCTTGTTTTTAGGTACCAGACAACCTACAGAAGCATATCAATCATAAGTTTTATTATTCAAGCTTAGCAAACATTAATAGTGTCTAATTTAACCATAAGAAATGCTTAGGAATTAATAGTGTCTGATTTAACCATAAGAAATGCTGGCCAATGAGGTTGAGAAATCATTTTTTGTTGTGTTTGATCTCAAGGATCTTAACAAACATTTAAGAACTCTGTTGCAATCTTCTTTCTGCTGAAGCCAGTTCTGTAATAGAAGAGCTCAAAGTTTATTTCAGCCCATTGCAGAATTGCCCTAGAGCTTAGCTTTTGTTTTGAATGGAAATGGCTTTCTTCCAAGAAGTTGTTTAAGTTAGGTCATTGCAACTACGTCGGTAAGAAAATCTGAGCTGTTCATCAAAGTTTGACCTAAATTTTTGTTTCCACTCTATTTTTCATAATGTTCAGGTTGTTTGGTTTAAAAAAATAAAAAATAAATAAATGAATAGATCGATATGTACCAAATGGACAAAAATATTATATTTAATTACTTTTTGTTATCAATTTTTTTCAGTGTTAAAAGATAAATGACTAATACTATATATTTTACAATAACGTATATCATATTACTATGAAAATGAACTACCTTCACACTAAAGATCAAATACAAAATTTAAGTAATACAAAAGAACTTCAAAAGTGAGAAAAATCTCAAATAAAGCAATATAAAATAAAATCTGAACACAAGTGCGAGTAATTGAAACAGTCACTAGTGAGGTTTCAAATCTTGTCAACTCCCTTTCTCATCCCAAAAGATAAGAAAATATATAGTTTGTACAAAAAAAAAAATGAAAGAAAAAGAAAAAAAACAGAAACAAAAACAAAGTATGGTTAAACTAACATATGGGAAGGGATTATGTTATTCTTCAATGCAATTGTTTTGGACAAGAACAAGGAACAGATTATGACTGCAAATATTCACTGGATCAAGCATGACATAGTTTATGGTCTCAAGACCAAGTTGGACCAAGATGGATTATTAGGTCAGTGCCTATACAGTTAAAGCTCCTACCAAACCTTAGCCTTGCAACAACAATGCTGCAAATATTCAAATCATACCATTTTGTCTCATAAACTTTCACTCCAATATTTCCAAACTTAAAACAGGTGATCTAGTCCTAATCATTTACATTCATAATCATTTACATTGTTCATTTTTAGTGCTAAAGATTCACAACACATGAGCCTTAGACAAGTAATCATTAACAGGAAAATACTTATATTTAACATTAGAAAATTCTTACATGTCTAATTTCAGCTTCATTATGGACCCATGCTTGCCTTTTCTGACTAAAGTGTGTCTTGTGATACAAATCAACAAGTCCAAGCTCCTTTCCATCCTTGTCTCGCTGTCAAAACCTTTATAGTTAGTATCCTATGGAGTACATACATCACCAAATAAAAGAAATAAAAAAAGTGCCGCGTAGACCCTATGATTTAAAGGTCAGTTGTTTACCTCATCATATTGCACCTTTCTAAATGCCTTTGAGCCAGCTGTATGGAGGACTTTAAGCTCAAACCGATTTTCCTTGTTTTTCTGACATTTCTCCTGCATGAAGTGTAAAAATATATTCAGAAGAAATCGAGTCCATGTGCCCAAATGCTTAGTAACAGCAGCAGCTAAGCTGTAGCATCAGCCTCCGCCACAGCAGCAGCTGTAGCATCATCAGCAGCCCAGTACAAGCAGCCTACACAAGAGCTGCAGCCTCACCACAAGTGTGTGCAAGTGCATTACAAGTGTGTTCAACAATTACCTGGTACGTCTTATCATTCCATAATTGACACAGGTATCGCCACACCTCTTTTTCGATATCTTCATGTGGGTTTGCAAGGGCTGATTCCATCGTAGGGAAACTTCTAAAATGTTGGCGTAGATTAAAGCGGTAGGTCTTGTACCGGAGTTTCATCATTCCAAGGATAGAAGCAATAGCGTAAGGTTCATTACTAAAAATGAAACCTTCCTGCCATACCAATAAAATTAAACACTTCAAAACATTAAGCAACATAATTCATAAACTAAAAGGGAATATTAAACTAGACTAAAAAAAAACTATCTTACTCGAAGGTATGCAATTAGCGTTTCTTTATCCTCAGGGCTAATAAAACTCCACTTCGGCACATTTTGTGGGGCAAATTGCCTAGTGACAATCCCCAACTCGGTGGTGAATTTATCAGACCATGGTCCCAATGGATTCCCAGTAATCCTACAAATTTCAACATCCAATCGCTTCCCTTGACTTTTTATCTTGAGTAATGCAAGGCTTCGTGACTTCCCACGTCCTTTCTTACGCTCTGTTGTATCTATTAAAAACAACATATAGAAAAAACACATCAATGTCTAACATATGCATTGGATGAAAAGAATAAACAACCAACCGAAAAAGAATATAAAACTAAAATATTTACAAACCTACCAGCAATACAACAATTCGTGCTAGAAGTATCCAAGTATGAGGCTTGTGATGTAACTTCATGCATAGATGCCGATGCTGATGCAGTTGCAGATGTTGATGCAGATGTTATTGGGGGCACAAACTTTGACGTAAATGAAGGAATTGACTGAATAGATGTGGATGCAAAAGATGTAGCTTCTAATTTGTTGGGCACATAACCTCCCTGTCCTCTACCTCTAAAAATCAATAACAAGAACAATAAAATGGTTTCAGCTGTCTTACATAGAAATGTCTAGTGTATCTATAGGATGATCTTAGTAGGTTTAGTAATATAAAATGGTTTCAACTGTCTTACATAGAAATGAAGTTTCTGAACAAATTTTGCAGCCTTCTACTTAGATGAAAAAGATAAACTCTACATTTTCCTGCTCTATTTTCCAATTCTATTGCTAACTTCCAAAACTTTGGACTGAATCTCCTATATCTTTATCATAACACTTGAACTGGTGCTTCATCCTTGTGATCAGCTGTAACTATAATTGATTAAGATTACAGCTATCACATGTGGGTCCACTTTCATTGTAAGTAAGTGATAAAAAATATTATAAAAAAAAATGTGGCTGTAACAAGGCTCTTCAAATTTATATTGAATGTAATGTGAGTTGCATTTAGAATAAATTTAATTTATACATTTTTAAATTATGAATACTTTTTAAATGAAAATTCTAAACACATAACATTACTTTACTATATCAAATTCCAAATGAAATACAAAGGCCAGGTCTGTGCAGGAAATTAGTGTTGCAAAGCCACTTCAGCTGTCTTTTTTTTTTTTCTGCCATACCTTTCTTGGCGAAGTTTTTCTGCCATAGGATCCAGTGGCACTTCCTTCACTACTTCAAGAATTTTTTCCTTCTGTACACTCGCTTTTGCATTTGTCTTCTTGAGGACCTTTTCTGCAGTAGCTGCAGGTGCAGGTGCCTAAACATATCACATGAAAAACAACAAAAGCCAAGTGAGGATAATAAATAACAAAACAGCAACAAATAATACATACAATGCCATTACAATTCATATGAATTCTGAAATGCAGAAAACAACAACAGATCCATTTCTTTTCTTAGGTCATCAACTGTTGTTGGCTACAAGTACGTCTTTCAATTGGCCTTTATTGATAGTACCTTAACAGATTCCGTTGCACGCTTCCTCCATAGATCAGCTTTCCGAGTTTCAAATTCCTCTCTACTCATGATGGGGTGTCCAGGATTGATGCCCATCCTAAAATCCGCAAGATCCCTAAAATCCACAAGAAAATTAGTCAAATTGTTTTGAAAAAGGATAACATTACATTAAAGGCTAAATAGATGATAAAAAAAATGTAAAGCCCATTTCATTGCTGATAGTCAAATGATCATACATCATAACAATTATTGAACCATAAAAGCTTCAAATGATTCATAAACATAGAACTTGGTTAAAGACTCTTCCAATACAACTAAAAACTTTTGGAGTACACTATCAGCCGCAAAGAGCAAATGGATTTGGTACTCATGAACAAGCATAGAGAATCCAATTCACAAACAGAACTATGTAGACCACCATCTAAGATTTTAAAAAATAAATAAACAAATAAGAGAAAAAAAATTTAACAAAATAGTATCTTTTCTCAAGCTTTTTCATCTTAAAGGACAAATATGATAACGTTGGAAACAAGACAAAGTATTAAAATGAAATAAGCAACAAAACAAAGGACACTTTTTTTGACAAGAAAACTTGAAATGGAAATAAGCAATAGCAATTATAAATCTTACATGATGTTAAAATGGAAATCATTTGGAAACAAGACAAAATATTCATCGATAGATATAATCTTCATCAATTTCATCTTCCGGATCACTATCATCATCAATCATATCATCATCAACTTGATCATCCATGTTAGTGTCATCATCATCCGCATTATTATCATTAATGAGCGCTTCATCATCAACTTCAAGTTCCTCCTCGTGAAATTCGCCAGTAATGTCAACACATATCATTTCCATGTCTTCTTTGCATAATTCTATGGGTTGATCATCAATCTGCACCACATCCCCAAGTCCATACGACTCAAATTGTTGGTATGGTTCATCTTTGTCTTTGTCTTCCTCTTCCGCTTCCTCTTCATTCTCTTTCACTAAGATGTCATAAATAGCCCGTGGTAATACTCTTTGTACAACTCGATAATTATTGCCCCACTTCGTATCTTTCAAATAAAACACTTGTTCCGCTTGGCATGCTAACACAAATGGTTCATCTTTGTACCAAGTCTTCGTAACATTTACACTAATGTAGTTAAACTCATCAACTTTTATTCCAATTTTTTCGTTACCAACATCCCATCAATCATACTTAAAAAGAAACACACTATTCCCACCTAGATATTTCAACTCAATTTTCTCTCTAATAACACCATAAAAATCAATAGGTTTCCCTTTATGATCTCCCTTCACAACCACGCCACTATTTTGAGTTTTTCGGTACATGTCACAATCTTGAGTGTGAAACCGAATCCCGTTGATGATACAACCATTGTAGCGTGTCACTCGGTAATCAGGATCTCGAGCTAAGTTCATAAGTTGATTGGAAGCATCCATTGTCCCTTCAACTTGCAGCTTTGTGACCTAATTCCATTGTTAATATGAAATGCATTAGCATACACTTAAATTCATTATTTCAATACACAAATAATGTTCAAAAATTATAACTCTTACGCATTTTAGAAGCCATGTATGGAACTCTGATTCTAGCCTCTCTTGCATATTTGTCAAACCTTGTCCTTCAAGTTCATCCATGTATTGCCTATAAATTATAACAACATTATTCGACACAGATGGTTGTGAAAATAATATAATTCAAGAAGTAAAATATTCTAGTGAATATAATCATATGGTAGTTTACTTACAGCATATATGGTCGAACTTCATCACAATTAGTCAACACGTACAATCGAACTTTTTTCAAATCCGCTCAATTCAACACATCATTAATTGCAGCTCCTAATCCACGAACTTTGTGCCTAAATACAAACAAGTTTCCATCTTGTGCTGCCTCAATAGGCCCATCATAGTTTTGTTCAGGTCTATTAAATCTTGTCTCACCTTCATGGAAGTACATAGAGCAAAAAGTGAGAGCCTCATTGTCAATGTAACCTTCAGCAATAGATCCTTCTGGACGAGCTTTGTTGCGCACATAACCCTTAAGAATATGCATGTACCTTTCAAATCCATACATCCACCGGTATTGCACCGGTCCTGCAAGGATTGCTTCATGCGATGAGTGAATGGATAAATGGATCATAATATCAAAAAAAGATGGTGGAAATATCTTCTCGAGCTTGCACAAAATTAAAACAATATCTTTCTCAAGTTGTTCTAAGACATCAACTCTCAATGTCTTTGACGATAACTCTTTAAAGAACAAGCTAAACTCAATTAATGCCTTTCTCACATCCTTTTTCAAAAATCCACGTAGAGCAATAGGAATGAATCTTTGCAAGATAACATGGCAATCATGGCTTTTCAACCCCGTAATTCGACAGTCACTAATGTTCACACAATGTGATATGTTTGATGCATAGCTATCTGGCAATTTAATTGAACTCAAGAATTTACAAAAGTTCCTCTTTTCAGTTGGAGACAACATGAAGCAAGCAGGAGGTAGGAATGTTTGGCCATGTACTTCCCTTGGATGTAATTCAAGCCTTATACCCATATCCATTAGATCAAGACGAGCCTTGTATGTGTCCTTGGTTTTTCCATCAATGTTCATCAATGTTCCTAGAACACTATCACATACATTTTTTTCAATGTGCATAACATCAAGGTTGTGACGAACTTTGAGGGTTTTCCAATAAGGTAAATCAAAGAAAATGCTCCTCCTTGTCCAATTTAAATATTGAGGAGAACGTTTTCACTTCTTCCCACGGTGATTTATTTTCCCAAATAATGATGGGTCTATATGCCCCAATTGACCCAAGACCTCCTCTCCTGACAACAACTTAGGTTCTAACCTAAGCTCTGGCTCACCATTGAATGACTTGCTTGTTCGCAAAAAATGATCATGAGGCAAAAAACCATGATGTCCCATGTAACAAGTTTTTCTACAATGATGCAAGTATTGGTGAGATGCATTCTCATTGCATGACGGACAAGCCAATTTGCCTTTGGTGCTCCAACCGGATAAATTACCATACGCAGGAAAGTCATTGATAGTCCATAATAATGCCGCGCGCAATTGAAAATTAGAGCCACTTGATGCATCGTAGGTCTCTACCCCTACCTCCCATAACTCATTTAGCTCATCTATTAGCGGTCGTAAAAACACATCAACAGACGAATTCTGGGTGTTTTGATTAATTAGGTTTAAAAACCTCATAACTACAAAAGTTTCTTCCTCTCTAAACATTATTTAATACTTTCATATATACCATGGTATTATATTTTTGACTAATAAAAATCTGTGTTTTGTTAAATATTTTTGGTTGGTTGATTTTTTTCTGCATAAACAATACCCAAAAAAAAAAAAAACATAACCACCCTTCCAAAAAATAAATAAATAAATAAATAAAGTAACTAAAAAAATTATTTAAAAAAAAAAGATAAAAAAAATATTTAATTTTTTGACACGTCCCTACATATAACCAAACACAGCCCAACAAATAAAATAAAAGAAAAAAATAACAACCAAACCAACACAACCCAACAAATAGAAAAGAAAAAAAAAAGTGATTGATTTGATGTGTATGAGAGAGAGAGTGATTTTGGAAAATAGATAACCAAACAAAATTTTGAGATTTTTTTTGGAAAAATTTGTTTTGTTTGATTACTCTTAAAAATTTGTTTGTAAAGAATTTTTCCCAAAACTTTTTCTGAAAAATAAACCAAACAATCCCTATGGATAAAATTAAATAAGAAAATGAAAGACTAACTATCCAACTCTCTTAGTGTTTCATGTTAATTTATCAAAGTCTATCAGTAAGTTTTCATACGGCCTTTATGTTTGATTCCAAATTATTTGCCAAATCTTGATATTTTTTTTACCATACTTCTCTTTTCTTTTCTGCTTTCCATTCCCTACAAGTCACTTCCATTTTGGAACTTTGGTTCACACATGAACCAAGGTTTGAAACCTGTACTTTCTAGGCTTGAAATCATATAAGCTTTACGTATACTTTACATTGTAATTTATTGTATATGTTGTTATATTCTTTTCGATCTCTCTTTTTTATTTCTAAATTCATGTTCATTGGCTCTTAATCTCCGTACATTTTCGTTATTATTCTTCTTTGTCACTACGGTTGTGCTTATTTTTGCTACTTTTGTGATCACTGTGAACTTTGCTCCTATCAGTCCCTTCATTTCAACTAGATTATAATGTCATTACTTTGTTAATTTCAAAACATTTCTCACATTATTGGAGGTAGACCCCATTTTGTCCTTGGAATGATTAATCAAAATTCCACACAAGGATGAGAAAAGTCCATGAAAGGCAGATTGAGGAAATTCCAACAATGCTCCTATTCAATTATATGTACCAAGTTTAGAATCACAAAAATAAAGATCTTTTCTAGTTCAAAGCGAAGTTGAAAATGTGAAATCACTGGTAATTTTCAAGACGATTGTGCTCTCTCCACACTAACTAGAAAAACAACTTGAGTAATTTTTAAGCTTCAATGATATTTCATGTTATATTAGAGTTTGGCATTACTTTTATTTATTTATTTATTTGGGGAAATCAGATCCTTGTCAAGGATCTACACCTCTTCCCGAAGATGTTCCAGCCAACACAGAACCGGGAACATATATGGCCTAGTTCTTTTAACAAACCTGAGTTAAATTAAAATTTCACATCAAGAGGATTGAGAAATACCTATAATTAAAATTCACATCAAAATGATGAAATAAACAAAAATCAAACAGAATGAGTTAAATGAATTTTATTAATTTGACATTAAAACTAATTTTTGGCTACACTCTGTATTAAAAACTCAATACTACTTGAAGGATCGAGAAATACCTTGATAGAGAGTGAATTAACCAATCGATGTCTTCAAAGTAGCAGAAATCTGCAAAAAATGAAGAAGAAGGTGAAGAATCAACCTATAGAAAAACTGCATCCATGACAATGTGCAGGCCAATCGAACAAAAATGTGAACTACTTATTGTGTTTTTCATAGATCTACAATATATATATATACATATGTATATGTATAGGCAGAGATATATATATATATAGAGAGAGAGAGAGAGACGCACCAAATCTACAGAAAATGTGAAGAACAAGGTAGATCTACTGAAGCTTGTAGATCTCAAACTGATCTGCAATGGAGCTCGAAATGGACAGAGCGAAGACCTACAATGAAGCTTGCGATGGAGCTTGACAAATAGAGAGAGAAGTTTTTACACATCGTGAAGCTTGGATACGGTTTTCAGTGTGTATTTGCATCAGGTGAGGTTTTGTAATTTTCCATTATTTGGTCCCTAAAAAATGCCAATAATATGTGTTGACGACCAAAATTATTGGTCTCAAAAAGTTACACAGCGTAACAGGAAATATCAAGA